GCCGCTCCCCGTATCCTCACGGTGGCTGAGCTGGCACCCAGGATGGCCAAAGGGCTGGGAAGCTGCTCGTGGCACGGCGGCGCTCATCCCTAAAACAAATCCCAGGGAGCACCCCGCTCTGACCAGGAGGCAGGCAGACCAGGAGGCAGGCAAAAGGCAGCAGTGGGCAAGGCCCGAGCAGTTAGGCTATGCTGTGCCATGCCCCTGTGACACAGGGGCATACCCCACCGAGGGAGGCAGGCAGGCCATGCTCGTGGCTGATGGTTTGATCACTGTCCTGCTTCACAAAGCAGCATAAACATCATCTCTGAGCACGGAAAATTCCTCCTGGAAGGCGACTGCGCACAGACCGGAAAGCCTGACATCAGCTAGGCGAGCGTCCGCCCCACTGCCATGCCAGCAGGCAGAAGCCTAAGCAGCGAGCAGGTTGAGGGCTTAAAGGCAACACCCATGGGGCTCAGGGGGATTCGGAGCAGCAGCCGCCTCAACAACCACTGACCTATGGACAATGGCAAGCAAGGGACATGCAGCCGGCAGCAGGTTCTGCTCTGCCACTGAACAGGGCAGCACATAGGCTTGGGCCCCTCCAGTTCACAGGGGTTCGTCAAAGGGGGTCCACACCCCTACTTTAACGTAAAGACTGCATTTAAATTTGAATTGTCATCTTATCAGCATTACCTGGAATACAAGGGGATCCAGGGCTCACCTTTTCCATTGGCAGTGTGGATTCCACAGTGGGGAACATGGGGCAGATACATCTGCCAGAAATAACCAAAGTGGCACCGGTCAGCACTGCAGTCCTCACATCTTCAGAGGGGCAAGGCAGGGCCAAGGTGAGAAGTCTTCCCGGCATAACAGAGAGGGGAGTTGGAAGGACAAGGCACAGCCAGCTACCACTGCCACCAGAGCCGTAAGGAGTCAGCTCAGGGGCCTGAAGGGGCACAGCCAGGCTCCTGCTGGCTGCATCCCCTGCACCCTTGTCACCAGGGCTGCTATTGGTAGGAGTGCTCTGCCCTGATGTCCCTCTCCCTGCCACGAGCACCAAGTTTCTCTACTCAGCTCCATTTAAAGTCAGCTGTTTGGCTCCTGGATCACAGCTGGTCCTGAAAGCAATTTGATGCAGTTCTGGAAAGCAATCCAAATGGAAGCTTCTTTCTGTGGAGCTTTCAGTCTGACCCCAGCTCCTGCATTACCCAGAGAACACAATTTTGTGAGGCTGGTCAGGTGGAGACCACAGGCTGCATCTCAAACCTATGTCCCATTCCCCTCCCCTTCCTACCCCTTCCCCATCTCTGGCCCACCCTGTTGAACCACACACCACCAGTTGTATGCCATCACGCTCTCCCCACTCTAACTCCTCCTAAAGTCTTTTCTTAGGCAAAGATGTAGAAACTACTCCTTTCATTCCACGTGCCCAAGGAACCCTCCTACCCTATTACACATGAATCCATTTTGTAGACCAGTGTCATTGGGAGTGTGCTTTGTGTCTTGCTCCTGGGGAAACTGGGAAAGTCAGAAATAGGAAAAAGCCAGCATAAGCAGTTTAAAACAAGAAGGACTTTCACATTCTCATTTTAATGACTAGAGACTAAATTAACATTACCGGAGCAGTAAGAGTAAAGAAGCATTTCCCCAACACACTGCAAAAGTTCTGCGAAACATATCAACCTTATTTTGGACAAAACCAAGGTACTTAATTATTTAAACTAGTTGTTTGTAACTCTTGAACAGGAAGAGGCACTCTTGATGAACCTCAACTTTTTCACATTTCATCATTTCCTCGAAAAGGACCAAGGAACAGCTACTGCGTGAAAGGATATAAGCAGGACTGCCCAAAACCTTTCTTAGCCTTCATACAAAGTTGCAGGCAATGGCCAATATTTTGGAGAACTCTCCTTCTCTCTGTCGCAGGATATAGGGTATTGGTGTTTTTATTCTAGTCCCTAATGGATTTCCATTGTCATCTATGAGTACCACATTGTTGGAATCAAATCTGGGTGTCATGGTGGGGCCAGGCATCTTGTGCCCTACAATCAAAGCCTTTTTCTTCTCTCCTTTGATCGCCAGAAGGATTTTATCTCCTACTTTGCCAACTCCGGTCTTGTTATAGACGTGAATACATTTTGGTGGCCGGTGGTACGGCGTGTTCCCCAAGGCACTGTTGTCCACCACTCGCACGCGGGTGAGTTTCTGTATTGCTCGGCATGCTCCAGTGATACTAGCAAGAGACAGGAAAGAATAAGGGAGAGATCTCCTCAATAATCCAGGGGGAGCAAGGGCAAACCCAGCACAGGATCTTGTCATTACACGACCCGCTCAGAAGGCGCCAGCAGCAAATACATACCATATGGGTGACACATTGACTGCGTTCAATGTGCTCTTTCAAACCAGATGCTACTTCAGGCTTTGCGCACTCTTCACTACACGTAAAACATAAAATGGCCGTTCTACTCCGAAACATGACTGAAAGAGTGGCTTGCATTTACTGGGCTTTTTAGCGACTGCAGATGACTCCAACTTCAATTTACGAGCAAAAAAAATGTGCTTGCTTCTGCTACAGACAGCTTACAGGAAGCTAAGACTCAAGTCAGGATCTTTCAACCTTGTACACAGTCACGAGCAATAAGGACTTTTCTGACCGATCTTTTCTGTAAGGTCCATGAGGGTCTCCCATCTTACTCAGCCCTCAGAGAGACCCTGAGGTCCTGCTGTGGCTTTGCTAAGCTGCCGCCAAGCAGAGTCTAACAGATCACCCTCCTCTATGAGGGAGGAACCCAGAGACACAGTCTCTTCTGCATCCGTTTGCTCTGTGGGATTATCAGGAGCAAGAAACAGCAGAAATAAACTGCATGATACTAAGTTGTTAGATCTGAGACTGAATATGCTGGGAACAGCATGAATAAACTGAGAAATCAGAGAATCACAGAATGGTTTGGGTTGGAAGGGACCTTAAAGATCATCTAATTGCAACCCCCCTGCCATGGGCAGGGACACCTTCCACTAGACCAGGTTGCTCAAAGCCTCATCCAGCCTGGCCTTGAACACTTCCAGGGATGGGGCATCCACAACTTCTCTGGGCAACCTGTTCCAGTGCCTCGCCACCCTGTCGAGTAAGAACTTTTTTCCTGATATCCAATCTAAACCTCCCCACTTGCAATTTAAACCCATTACCCCTTGTCCTGTCACTACAGGCCCTTGAAAAAGTCCCCCCCGGCTTCCTTGTAGCCCCTTCAGGCACTGGAAGGCTGCAGTAAGGTCTCCCCAGAGCCTTCTCTTCTCCAGGCTGAACAA